CAGGGAAGCTTAATGACTAATTGAATTGTTATTGTTGTTGTTAGGTGCCATCGAGACAGTACGGACTCATAGCAACTGTTGTATCATTTGCATATTGCAGGTTGTTAATGAGTGTTCCTCCAATCCTGATGCCACAATTTTCTTGATAGAACCCAGCTTCTCAGATTATTTGGTCAGCATAAAGGTTAAATAAGTATGGTGAAAGAATACAACCCTGTCTCACACCTTTCTTAATTTTAAACCATTCAGCGTTCCCCTGTTCTGTTTGAATGACTGCCTCTTTATACATGTACAGATTTTTCATGAGCACAATTAAGTGCTCCGGAATACTCATACTTCACAATGTTGTCCATAGCTTGTCAAGATCCACACAGTCGAAAGCCTTTGTGTAGTCAATAAAGCACAGATAATCATCTGATATTCTCTGCTTTCAACCAAGATCCATCAGACATCAGCAATGATATCCCTCGTTCCATGGCCTCTTCTGAATCTGGCTTGAACCTCTGGAAGTTCTTTGTCAATGTATGCTTGCACACTCAGCATTTCTCAAGCTAGGGAAACTGAAGAAAAAATTCAAGGCTTGACTTTCATCATTGAAGGATTCTCTGGGCAAATTATTGAATGATGCAATAAGCATCAAGAGAAGATGAAAGGAATAAATAGAGTCACTGTACCTAAAGAAAATGGTTGATGTTCAACCATTTCAAGAGGTAGCATATGATCAAGAGCCAATGATATTGAAGGAGGATGTCCAAGATGCATTGAAGGAATTGGCAAAGAACAAGGCACCAGGAATTGATGGAATAAAAATTAAAATCTTTCAGGAAAGTGAGGTGACACTGGAGGCACTCACTCATCTCTGCCAAGAAATGTGGAAGACAACTGTCTGGCCAACTGATTGGAATAGATTCGTATTTGTGCAAATTCCAAAGAGAGGTGACCCAATGGAATGCGGAAATCATCAGACAATCTCTTTGAAAACTCAAGCGAGTTAAAGTTTTACTAAAGATAATACAGAAACAGCTGCAAGCATACATTGACAAAGAACTTCCAGAGGTTCAAGCCAGATTCAGAAGAGGCCATGGAACGAGGGATATCATTGCTGATGTCTGATGGATCTTGGTTGAAAGCAGAGAATATCAGAAAGATGTTTTCCTGTGCTTTATTGACTACAC